AATATGAGGCAAAGCAAACTTAACTGGCATTCTAGAAAGTAGAATCCAACATTTACTATTATTATCAGAAGCTCACAAATCAGCAATAAAATAAATACAAGTCTGTTTGGAAAATACTAACAGGAAAGAATATGCATCCCAGTCACAACTTTAAAGAACAGAATAACAAGAAACAAAAAGAATAGAATCATCTAAACTCAGGCCTCAGAAAAACCTTTGAAAAGCATACATAGAATTTACTTGATTGCATATATTAAATCATATCATTCTTTGGTGCAGATGGTAAAAATAAAGCACTCACCATCACCAATAACCTGCTCATCCCACTGCACTACAGGGCAAACAAGAACTCCACTGCCAAGAAGCATCATTTCATCCGCTTTCTTACCTTCCTCAACAGTCACATTTTTCACCATTATTCCCTTAAGCTTACCCTCCCTTAACAAACTCTCAGCAAGGGTTAAAACTCTCTTAGCGGTGCAGCCACTTAAAATTTTGTCAAAGTAAGGCATTATAAGTTCCTTCTCTTTAGTGACAAAAGCCACATTCATATTAGGCCCTTCAGCAACAAAACCTTCCCCATCAAGCCAAATGCCCACAAAAGCACCAGCTTCTTCAGCTTCCACCTTTGAGAGCACATTTGGAAGATAATTCACACTCTTAGTGATAGCAAACTGGGGGTCTTTAATGGGGATAGATGAAGTAATGACTTTAACTCCCTTGAAATTAAGCGACGATGGTGACAGATCCTGTATTACTACTGCATAAAGACTTGATTGGTGGCAGCCAGAGGGTGATAACTGAAAGTCACCAGGTCCTGCTGAGAGCCAATATCTTAGTGACCCTTTTCTACACTTGGAAGCACTTACAGTTTCTATGAGTATTCTTCGTATGCTTCCACGATCAAATGGGGGATCTATTTTAGACATGGATGCTGAACTTAAAAAGCGGTCAAGGTGTTGATCTAGCTCATATAAGTATCTATAATGCAAAGAATACATTTGAGATTTGACTGCTTTAAGAAGTAGAAAACAAAGGGGTAGTTCTCATTATGATGTGGAAATCACTAACCCGTCCACTATTGCTGCAGTATCAAATACACCGTGGCCCCTATGGACCATGTGGTCATCCATGGGAATAACCATAGCAGCTGGGTCTGTTGTTATCCCACCAAATATACTAGAATACATGGCAAGGAATTGTTGCTTGCCATTTATCTTTCCTCTGAACGTTTTTAGCCTTTCATAGGCCTTGTGCAGGCAAAAGGGAAAAAAGAAAGATATCGTGAGCACTTAGCAGCACCATAATTACATATTCAAAATAATTATTTCCTCTGAGATGTGACATGTGAGTCACATAAAATTCGCGATTTTTATTCAGTTCTAATCAATAATTAAGAGAATGTTAGAATAAGAGAGTATCAAGAGTGTGGATGGCATTTCTAAGATAATAGAAAGAGGGTTAGTAATATATTTTTCTAGGGATTAATTATTCTTTTAGTTCTTATAATTTTTAATTTTATTTTTTAATTTTTATAATTAAAAATATTTTATCTTAAATCACATGCATATCATTTTTATTTTTTTATCCTATAATTTTATAAATTTTATTTTTTAATCCTTAAAAAAATAGATATAAAAAACTTTGTATATATTATATATAAAGACTAGAATTGAATATTTTTAATTATTCTGAATAAAAAATAAAGTTCATGATCCTAACAAGTTTATGATTCTAAAAATACAATAGGTAATTAAACAATTTTTTAATAATATCCTTGTAATCAAACTATTCCTTTCCTATCCAACAGCTTCAACTGATCGATTCAGAGAATTAGAGAGAATAACGAATCACTCACAATAGGTGCCATCCCATCCCAACCCAATCACAGCGAAAAAGAAAAAGTTTGAAGAGATGTTAGACCTCCGAGGAAGTCAAAAGCGGAACACGAGACACTTGAGTTTTAGAATCTGCAATAATGTCAACGCAACATTAGTTTCCGTAAATTTAACAACGTCGATTTAAGAACGGAACCATACAACGTAGGAGAAAACGTACGAAGCGAGTCCCCAGATTGGTTGGAGCCGCTGAGAGAGGTGCGTTTAGCAACGAGGCAGTGGCGATGGAATCGGCGGTGAAGCAGTTTGGAAGGGGTTTCTGATAGCGCTTGCGGAAGGAATTGAAGACAAGCCATTTCTGTTTGGGTGTGAGAACTGAAAAGTGAGGGTGGAACGCGATTTTAGAGTAGTAGTTGGCTTCGTTTTAATGGTTGCACCATTTAACAATTATATACGCATTTTTTTATTCAGAGTTGGGTTTTATTTATTTATTTGGCTGTATATTCGTAAGTTATTTTGGATCTTGGTGAATGGGATGTAGTGGAGGGAATCAGCTGCCAATGATACATGTTTGTTTGTTCTCTTGTTTCTTGTATCGTTTGGAAACCCATGATTTAATAATAATAATTATACCGTATGGTGGCCGACCAGGCCGAACACCCAAGACCGAGGCTGAACACCCGAGTCCGTGAACACTGAGGCTGAATCCCTGAACCCGCCGACCACTCACAAATTGAACGGAACGTGTCGGTGTGCTCGGCCGAGCTCCGCACCTACGCCAGGATGATTACGGAGAGCTTAATTAACATAATGCATCGGATTAGCCTTCTAATTTTCTGGGGCCCAATCCCTAATCACGGCCCAATAAGAACCACTATAAATAGGACTCCAACGAGGTATGTAACTAACTTCTAACTACCGCATTTGTTACGCCGAGCACTTACTTGAGCGTCGAAGTGTCTTTGCAGGCACCCCCTACCTCGCTTCGGACTACCCGGACAGGAACGAGAAGACCGAGACCCAGGACCCGACCCGCTACAACTAGGATAATTGAAGTGTGTATCCTAACACAGGAACATTTGGCACCCACCGTGGGGCCGAGGAGACATTTTCAGCCCCTTTTGAACTCTACGACTGAGACCAAAGCATGGTAGTAACCGCAAAGGACAATCAACAACGACTCAACCGATCCCTAACCCCGAGATCAATCCATCCAAGAACAACCAAGCAAGTGGTAAGGAATTCTTGTAGTGAGTTTCTACAAGGGGTATTTTCTTGGGGTCAAGAAAGTGATTAACTTGAATGTAGGAGTGTATGCATGTGTGGTATGGTTGTAAAACTTCTTCATTAAGATAGTGGAACAAAACTTTATCAGGTTATGATTAAGGATTGGATGTAGGTCACATGTGGAGTGGCTGAACCAGGTTAAAAGACTTGTGCAACTTCTCTTACACCTTATCTTTTACATTGAGTAACATCTTGTTTGTGTGTTAAAGTGATCATTCTTGATTAACATGTTTGTATGCACAACATTGCATTAAACTGAATCAAAGTATTACATATTGATTGCTCTTAACTTTGAAGTCTATTAAAGATTAATCAAGAAAGCATATAGGACTCATTTTTCATTAACAAGTCTTTAAGGAACTTCTTTGAAAATTCATATTAAAAAAGTTTGAATTGAAATAAAGATCCTAAGAACTCTGAAAATTTTTAAAAGTGTCATAGAATCCAATTCACCCCCCTCTTGGATTGGGCCATTCTTTTCTAACAATTGGTATCTAGAGCAAGGTTCTTGACTGTTATTCAAGATTTCAAAAATGGCCAATAGCAACCTACTTTATGGTGAGGGTGTGTCTATTCATAGACCTCCTGTTTTCAATGGTGAAAACTATGTCTATTGGAAAATTAGGATGAGAATTTTCATTGAAGCAATTGACATTGCTGTGTGGGATGCAATTGAAAATGGACCTTATATCCCTATGACCAAAGATGATGATGAGAAGAGAGAAAAACATTGGAATGAGTGGAGTGATGATGAGAGAAAAAGAGCCCAATATGACTATAGAGCAAAGAACATCATTACATCTGCATTGTCTATTGATGAATTTTTTAGAATTTCTCAATGCAAATCTGCTAAAGAAATGTGGGACACTTTGCAAGTCATTCATGAAGGAATAAGTGATGTAAAGAGATCTAGAAAGCATACTCTCATAAGAGAATATGAATTGTTGAGAATGAACAATGGTGAATCAATTTCTGATTTTCAAAAGAGATTTACACACTTGATAAATCACCTTGTTGATCTTGGCAGGAAATTTGAAGAAGAAGAATTAAATCTAAAAGTGCTGCAATGTTTGGACAGATCATGGCAAGCAAAGGTGACTGCCATAGAAGAATCAAAGGACTTGACTTCATTGACCCTTGCTACTCTCTTTGGAAAACTAAGAGAGCATGAGCAAAAGCTACTTATATTTAAGGAGATGAACAACAAGACAAAAAGGGCAAGGGAGTGTCACTAAGAGCCTTGAAATCAGTCAAAGGCAAAGAAGTACATGAAGAATCAAGCTCCGAAGATTTTGAAACAGAGAACTTCAACTTGCTGGTGAAGAAGTTCAGAAAATTCCTAAGAAAAAAGAGGAATTCCCCCTACAAGTTCAACAAGAAGACCAACAAGAAAGAGGAAGCAAGTACATCCTCCTACAATTGTTTTGAGTTTGGGAAACCAGGACACATAAAAGTTGAATGTCCAAACCTCTTAAAGAAGCAATAAGAGGAAAAGAAAGTGAAGAAAAATGGCAAAGGAAAGAGAGCCTACATTGCTTGGGAAGACAATGACTCAAGCACAACAAGTGATGAATCTGAATTTGAAGAGAAAAATTTGTGTTTGATGGTTGGAGCTGATCGAGACACAATAGTAAGTGATTCTGACCTTGAATCTAATCTGACTATGATCAACTCCAAGAAGCTTTCATTCAAATTCACAGAGGCTGTGAAATTAGATGCTTTAAATTCAAAGCTTAAAAACAAGCTGTCATGGTATGAAAATGCTTTAATTAAAGTTGAAAAAGAGCTTGAGGATTTGAAAAATGAGCATACAATCTTCAAACTATTTTGAACTTTAATGAAGCTCATTGTGAAACCTTCTCTTCTTCAAAATATGTTTTTGAAAATTGCAAGACTTTGGAAAAGGAAAATGCTGATTTGAAAATTACTCTTGCAAAGTTCACAAATGGAAATGAAAATTTGAATATCATTTTGGGAAAGCAAAGAAATACTTTTGATAGAAGTGGACTTGGATTTAATCAAAGCATGAACATGCCATTAAAATCAAGAGAAGGAGTTTTTAAGAAAAACCAAGTTTTCAAAAAATACAAAGGCAATTTTATTAGACAAACAACTTGCTATTATTGTTGTAAGAAAGGTCATACAATAAGGAACTGCTACTCTAGGAAGTGTGGAGTTCCAAATGGAGAAATGTTTTGGATTTAAAAAGAGCCAAAGGCTGAGAACTAACCATCAAGGACCCTTCATATGGGTACCTAAATCAATTTTCTGATCTTTGTTGTAGGAATGCTTGAGAGCCAGAAGCTTATTATGGTACTTGATAGTGGCTGCTCAAGGCATATGACCGGCAATCCTTCAAAATTATCAAGTCTGATATTGAAGAATGAAGGGTTTGTTACTTATGGTGACAACAACAAAGGGAGAATTCTTGGTCATGGTAACATTGGTAACTCCTCCTCCCTAACATTGATTGAGAATGTATTGCTTGTTGATGGGCTGAAACATAATTTGCTGAGTATAAGTCAACTTAGTGATAAAGGTTTTATAATTGAATTTGATAATACTTGTTGCTTGATCTGTGATAAAAAGACAAAAGAAATTAGATTCATTGGTAAAAGAATTGACAACATATACATGCTTGACTTAGAGAACTCAATAGAAATTTCCAACACCAAGTGCTTAATAAACAAAGAAGACAATATTTGGCTTTGGCATAGGAGAGCTGCACATATTCACATGGATCACTTAAACAAACTTAGTAGAAAGGAGTTAGTGATAGGATTACCTAAACTCAAGTTTAGCAAGGACAAACTATGTGATGCTTGTCAAAAGGGCAAGCAAGTGAAGGCTAGCTTTAAAAGCAAAAATTAGATTTCAACTACTAGACCTTTACAATTAATTCACATGGATTTGTTTGGTCCTTCAAGAACCATGAGTCTAGGTGGGAACTACTATGGGTTAGTTATTGTAGATGACTATTCAAGATTCACATGGGTTATGTTTCTTGCAAACAAAAATGAAGCTTTTCATGCTTTTAAGAAATTTGCCAAGCTTGTTCAAAATGAAAAGAACACAAACATCACCTCAATTAGAAGTGACCATGGAGGTGAATTCCAAAATATTTTGTTCCAAAAATTCTGTGAGGAGCATGGTATTAATCATAATTTTTCAGCACCTAGGACACCTCAACAAAATGGGGTTGTTGAGAGGAAAAATAGGTCTCTTGAGGAATTAGCTAGGACTATGTTGAATGAGACCAAATTACCAAAATATTTTTGGGCTGATGCTATTAACACAACTTGTCATGTGTTAAACAAAGTTCTGATCCGGCCCATACTAAAGAAAACACCCTATGAAATTTATAATGGGAGGAAGCCTAATATTTCATACTTTAGAGTATTTGGGTGTAAGTGTTTTGTGCTGAACAATGGCAAAGAGCAACTTGGAAAATTTGATGCAAAAGCTGATGAGGCAATCTTTTTAGGATATTCTATAAATAGCAAAGCCTATAGAGTATATAACAAGAGAACTCTAATTGTTGAAGAATCAGTTCATGTTGTGTTTGATGAGACTAACAAACAAGAGACAAAGCAAACTGAAATAGAAGACTTGACTGATTTGCTTGATCAACCTCTATTAGAGAGTGAACCTAATGAAAAGCCTAAAGAGAGTGAATCAAATGAAACCACTAAGAATACAAGTGAACAATTGCCTAAGGAATGGAAAACTTCTAGGGACTTATCAATGGATAATATAATTGGAAATATTGGTAAGGGAGTGTCAACTAGAAGTGCCATTAAGAATATTTGCAATACTATGGCTTTTGTGTCACAAGTTGAACCTAAGAGTATAGATGAAGCACTAAAAGATGAACATTGGTTAATGGCTATGCAAGAGGAACTAAATCAGTTTGAAAGAAATGAAGTATGGGATTTAGTGCCATTACCAACTGATTATCCAATTATAGGAACCAAGTGGGTTTTTAGAAATAAGCTTGATGAATCTGGAATTATTATAAGAAATAAGGCAAGGTTAGTGGCTAAGGGGTATAATCAAGAAGAGGGAATTGATTATGATGAGACTTTTGCCCCTGTAGCAAGGATAGAAGCCATTAGATTACTTCTTGCTTATTCTTCTATAATGAATTTCAAGCTTTATCAAATGGATGTGAAAAGTGCTTTTCTTA